AAAAAAAAAAAAAGACCTAAAGACCCTAATTTTTAGCAGATTTGAGCTTTAAGAGATGAAAGTTCCCTGCTAGGGATCCTTTCCTTGGAGTCAGTCATAAGAACTCTGCCCACCTACACTTCCTTTAAAGAAGGACCAATAATAAGGCCTCTGGCTCTGATTTTAGCAATGTATGAAGGAATTATTTTTAACTGATGATGGTCAGAAAGGATTGCCCAGCTGAAGAGAGTAGCAGTGTCCATAACCCCTTTCCTGCGAAGATCTCTTTTTAAGTTAGAAAAAAGGAAGCAACAGGGGGCCAGGGAGATGACTCAGTAGAATAAGCGCTTGACTGGCAAACGCAAGGATCTGAGTTCAATCCCTGGTTCTGCAAAAAAAAGAAAAAAAAAAGGAAGCAACAGACTGTACAGATATGGACCCAACCCCCACCCCAAGATCTCTATTAGTGCTGATGGAGCGAGAATTAATACCGACTGTAGGACCTAGAGTACAAATAACGACTGAGTCTGTGTTCTTAGGTATGTCCAAAGTCCCATGCAGATCCATCACAGGGGATAGCCCAGGCTTGGCATACAAGCTCCACGTGTGTCACGTCTACTTGAGACCCGCTGGTGTAAGTACTAGCATGCTTCTGCTTTGCTGTCTTCCATCTAGTTCCCACCAGCACTTCTGTGAGTGGAAAATCAGTATTCTAGTGGCTGGCCTCATAGCTCAGCAGACTATAAAGTACCTGCTTAGGCAGAGCATAGCAGCAGGGGTTGATCCCTGGTGTGCCATGCCAGCCTTACCTTGAGACTGGGCATGGCGGCTTGCACCTGTAATTCCAGCGCTTGGGAGGCTGAAAAACAGGAGAATCACTACAAATCCGATCTACATAGTGAGACCCTGTAGACCCTGTCCTAAAACAGAAAAAAAAAAAAAAAAAAAAATCAGAATTCTCTTTTGTCTCCTCAGGTAGGGAATACACAGGAGTATGTCTCTGGGGCAAGTTTCCCACTGGGAAGGTGTCAGACTCAGCTTTAGTTTCTTCTCCACTCTTGATACCCTCAGATATTGGAAGTGATATGCTTCAACACTTTGAGGTGAATCAGACCCAAATCTGGCTTTGGTTCTATACCCTTAAGTGAGTCTGGCAGCCAGCACCATGGACAGCAGCCAACCCCTCCCTCCCCCCCTTCTGGTGAGATTAAGGTTGACTACATACAAGAGCTATGTGGGCATTCAGAAAAGAAATACTGTATCCAAAACATCCCAAGGGAACACATAGGACAAGAACTGCCCTCAGAGAAAGACCAATAATAAGAAAGGCCTCTGGGTCTGATTTTAGCAATGTATGAAGGAATTATTTTAATTGCTGATGAATGGTTCACTTAAAAGACACCATCATTCATATAATACACAGCCCCCACACTTTACAAGAAAGGAACCAGGCTTCAGATTGACCCACTTTTTGTCCCCCATTGCAGGGACTGAGCCCAAGGCCTTGTGCAGGTTAGGCAAGCACTCTACCACTCATGACAACTCCAGTCCGCTGAGCCACTTTTCAACCAGTCCTTCCCAACCTTTTTCTCTATAAACAGTCCTCTGTGCTGCTACTTCCAAGCTCAATACCTTTACTTAACACTACTAGCTGGGAACGCCAGGATCTGCCCTGTGAACCTGAACTGCCACGGAAATAGCTGAAACTGGAGCTAGACACATACAACATTGGGAGGCATCCCTCCAACTCACTTTGAATGAGTCCATATTCACTTCCTACCACTGTCTGCGTGTGCACAGTACCTGGGAAGGACTGCTAGAACTCAGATGATCTCTACAAGAAGGCAGTGGGCTCTATCCTTCCCCTAGGCCCCAACATTTAGTGTCAGAGTTCTCATTCTTACAAATAACCAACATCCTTAACATTTGTAATGTCTGTTTTCCCCATTTCCACAGCATTATGTCAATCAACACAAAACTCCAATGTTCTGTGCAACTCTTGATGAAAAACACATTTTTGGAATGTGTTATACCAGCTACTATTTGAAACAGACCATCTTTTTATGTCATCAATGATTCTCTTTGCAATGGGATCCAACCTGTCTCTCATTTATCCTCATTCCAACTTCTATGAGGTAGACAGGAAAACCATAGCTGAGAGATGTTTTTCTAAATCATATAACTCGCAGGTGGAAGGTCCACCCCTTAGATACCTCTGAGCACTGCCACCTAGCAGCTAATGTGAATTATTCACCAGCAAGTGGGAGTCACACCTCCAACTCAGAGCACACTGCTGCATTTGGGACTTGCAACCTGTGCAGAGAAACCTCCCCACAGCTCCTAACCCTCCAGAAAAGCCCCAGATGAGAAAGGAGTCTCCATGTGCATATAAATGATTCTTTATGCCCTTCCCCCATGCAATGGGGGGTGGAGCAGGGGAAAGCCCCCAGCCCTCATGCAGGGAATGGGAGGTCAATGTATACTAGTCTTATTGCCAGATGCCCTGTGGCCATGGGGTGGGGAATGGGGGTCTGCAGCCCCTTTCTTCTGGCACTGGTCCCCCTTCACTAAGTCACTGTGGTGGAGCCAGGGGGCTGGAAGGCCCTAGGAGCTGAGGTAAAGACGGTTCTTTCCAGGGAAGAAAAGCTGCTCTCTCCTCCCGCTCACTGGCCATCTCAGGATGAGTATGAGGAGCTGTCAGTGGGGGCTGGAATGTCATCCAGGTGTCTCTACCCAGTGGGCAGCAGAGGCTAGAAAATGTCTCCAGCCTGAAGGTGCCTAAAAAGATCCTCAGTGGTGAAAGCACTGCACCCCACCTTGTCCAGGTGGCACCTCCAGCAGCCATGAGAGCTCATCATTGGTTGATCCACTGACTTAAGATTCCTCCTCCTGGAGTACAGGTCAGACGGTGGTGACCCGCATAACAACCTCTCGGCCAGAATGGGAGCTGGAACGGGCATCTGGTGGCCGCAGCTGTCCAAGGAGGTGCAGGATTGTGTAACCACAGCGCTGAGGCAAGAGCGTCCGCATGCGCTGGGCAGCTGGGGGACGGCTGGTTGCCCCTGCAGGAGGGCCCGTCCGTGAGGTCCTAGGGCCTGGCTTCCCTGCAGTGCCTCCCCCTGCATCTCCTCCTATGTCCTTGGTCTTATCATAATTCAGGACCTTCCACTGCTGGTTCACTGCCTGCCAGCGCTTGAAGATTCGGTAGACAGAAGAGCCTTCGTGGACGATGAGGCCTGAGCAAGAAGGATAAGAAATAAGAGTCAGTGCTGCTAAGACCTAAGCAAGAGAGCCTAACATATGCATTTAAAGAGTAACAGGGAGCAGAAATATAGCTCAGTGACACAAGTGCCTGCCTGGCTAGCACAAGGTCCTGAGTTTGATTCCCAGTACCAAAAACAAACGAACAAAAACAAAAACACAAACAAACAAACAAAAACTCAGCTGCAAAGGACACTGAGAAGCAGGCAAAGAAGCAGCCAAAAATAGCCTTAAAAACCCCCCAAAGCAGAAAACATGGCCATGAAACTAAGGGAACAGGCTGGGAAGTGAAGTGGGCAAGAGAAAGATGGTGAGCAATTGGGCAGAGGTGCCCTTACCTATGCAAACAACATCCATGAAGCCGTACATGCCGTAGCAGATTTGGAAGAGCAGATCCTGCCGTTGCCACTTGGCTGAAGGGCTGAGTGAGGACCAGATGAGCCAGGAGATACTGGCCACGAGGAAGAGTGAGCCCAGAACTATGGCAGCAATCTGTACCTTCTCAATGACCGTCAGGGAGATGGCCTGCCACTGTGGGGAGAAAGAGCTTGAACAAGCCACAGAAAGGGATGAAGAGCAGGTGATGGGCAGCTCTGAGGAGGGGGTTTCAGGGCGCTTCCCAACACCCTTTCAGAAGGATCAACACATTTTTTTCTGTACTCTGCGTTAAACATAAAATGAAGCCATTTGTCTAACACTATTATCCATCTTATTTCATTTACTGATTGATTGTATTGGGGATTGAATCCAGCTTTTTTATTATTAAACTACCCACGCTAGGCTCAAACTTGCCATCCTCATGCCTCCATCTCCCAGAATGCTGGGATTGTACACACGTGTCACCATGGCCACCTGTCTTATTATACTTCTTCTTTGGTACCAGGAATTGAACTCAGGACCTTGCACTTGCCAGGCAGGCATTTGTGCCATTGAGCTATATCCCCAGTCTTTGTCTGTCTGTCTTATTTAGAAAAGCAGGATCTGAAGCCAAAACATCTAAGTCTAAATTCCAAACTTAACCCCATCAATAACTGGCTGATTAACTTTGGGAGTTTTAACAGACCTTAGCACATCAATATCTTCATCTACAAAATGGGGATAAGGATATTAGGATTATTATGAAAATAATTACTCCAGCTGGGGATGTAGCTCAGTGATATAGTACCTGCCTGGCAAGTATAAGGTCCTGAGTTCGATGCTGGGCACCAAAAAAGCCAGAGTTACTCCAAGCCAGGCATGGTGGCACCCGCCTGGCCTGTAATCAGCACTTGGAAGGCTGAGGTGGGAGGATTGCCATGAGTTAAAGGCCAGCAATAACAAAGCAACCAACGCCAAAAAAATTACTCCAAAACTTGGCATAAAGAAAATTCTACTTAAAATTAATAAAAAATAAAAATTAATAAAGAGGGCTGGTGAGATGGCTCAGTGGTCTAAAGCACCTACTTAGAACAAATTTAGCAAAGCAAAGGGACCGCAGTTCAATCCCCCAGTACCACATGCCAGCCAGCCCCGCCCCCTGGTGGGCTGAGCTGGCCACACACACACACACACACACACACAAAATAAATAAATAAAATTAAAAAAAAATAATAAAGAAAAATAAAATTCTACATGTTTGCGATCATCAACTTTATCATCTTTTCCCAGTGACTAGAACAGTAAGAGGGAGCAGAAATATAGCTCAGTGACACAAGTGCCTGCCTGGCTAGCACAAGGTCTTGATTCCCAGTACCAAAAACAAACGAACAAAAACAAAAACAAACACAAACAAACAAAAACTCAGGTGCAAAGGTGACTAGAACAGGACCTAATACAAGTGGCATTCAATAAGTGTTTCTGTGAGTATAAGAAGGATTTACAGACAAGAGACTGACCTCATGGTGTGTGTATGTGGGGGGTGGCTTTGGGAAACTACTAAACAGGTAAAATAGGCTCCCTAGCCAGTCTCTGATGCTGAGAGCTGCGTCCTCTAGTTACACCTCACCTGCAGTGGGTTCTTGGTGCTGATGGCCAGCACCTGGTATTTGAAGTAGCAGAGTTCACAGCTCCAGGAGCCCCTCTCACTGATCCAACGGATGAGGCAGGGCTGGTGTGTGCAGCGCACCGAACCGTCGCAGCGGCAGGGACTCAAGAGCTCCCCCTGGAGGAAGAGTGGGGAGGGGTCCTGTCAAAGATCACCACCCAGACAGACCCTCCTGGAGAGGGAAACCTCTTCAGGTCATTCTCTCACCTTCAAATACTCAGGCCTTTCACCCCAAACAGGACAAGAGGCTAAGACTGCAGCAGTAAAGGAGGTGAGAGCTCAAGGGAAGCTTCCCATACCAAAGAGATGAGGGGTGGGAGTTGGAGGGAAGACAGGATCTTCTCTTTTTCCTAAAATTTGGAGTGATCGTTAAGATTGCCCAAAGGGAAGGCCTCCCCCTAGAATCTGAAGGGAAGAGAAGACCGGAGCTTCTGATCCCTGTCTTCCTTCCCATACCCCATCATTTAAAGTACTACATACTATTTCACAAGATTTGGGAGAATGAGATGGATTATGGATCTCGGTTTCCACGTACTAAAAAGGGGGAAAATCCTGAAAGCGGGAGTGAACACGTTCGCCTTTATCTAGGAGTCACTTCTCACTACGTAGAGACATCCTCTGGCACTATCCTGGGCCAACTTTGCCCACAGAATTCAACAAAGAAGTCTCTCTGAAACAAAGTGGAAACTTGCAGACGGCAAGTGCCAAGTGCACCGCCGGGAAATAGGCCGGGTGCCGGGTGCTGGGCCCTTCCTCACGGTAGGAACAAACCCACTGTTCATCTTGCTGCTCACCTCAGAAATAACAGGTCCCTCAGCCAATGGCAACCGGGTGGTCAGGGGAGTGGGCGACAAGAGCGGTCCAGAGGTAATAGGCACTGATCTTGAGCCCTCCCAGGGCAAAGCCCCACCCATTCCCGGGGACCCTTGACCCCCAACCCGAACACGCACTCCCAAGCGTCGCCCCAGCCTCCAGCTTTCCCGGGTGCCCACTCGGCCCCGCCCCCTGCTCGCGGTCTGCGCGGACGCCCCAGGTGTGCGCCCCCACCTGCCCCTCCCGCGCGCCAGGTGCCCGGGCCTAACCTGCTCCGGGCCCTGGAAGCAAATCCGGCACTGGGGGGTTCGGAGTCCGCTGTCCAGGCTGCTGCTGAGCGACAGAGCGTCCAGCGCGCCCGGGGGCGGCGGCGGCGGTGCAGGCGGCGGCGGGGGTCCGGTCCGCGGCTCCTTGTCGCCGGCCAGGCCCCGGGCGCGCGGCTCCGACCCGTAGTACTCCTCCTCGTCGCCGTCGCCGTCGCCGTCCCGGGAGGAGCAACCGGCGAAGGGGGCCCAGCCGCAGCCGCTTCCCCCGCCCCCTCGGGGCTGCGGCTCGGCCCGGGGCCGCCCCCCGCCCGTCAGCACCAGCAGCTTCAGCTCGTTCAGGAACATGCGGAGCCGGGACTTGAGCATCGTCCGGGCGGCGGGGCGGGGGGCGGCGCGCG